GACATTGGGGAGGGTATGTGCTATGGTGAGCGCTGTGAATTGTGCAAGACTGTTGAATCACAGATCTGTACCTCTGAAACAAATAATGTGATGTATGTTAAGGAAAAAAAAGAAGATAGCAGGAGGGGAAGGATGAAGGGGAGTAAATCGGGAGGAGACGAACCATGAGACAATGGACTCTGAAAAACAAACTGAGGGTTCTAGAGGGGAGGGGAGTGGGGGGATGGGTTAGCCTGGTGATGGGTATTAAAGAGGGCACGTTCTGCGTGGAGCACTGGGTATTATGCACAAACAATGAATCATGGAACACTACATCAAAAACTAATGATGTAATGTATGGTGATTAACATGATAAAAAATTTAAAGAAAAAAGTATTACAAGCTACTGCAAAATACGTTAATTCTAAAATTTCTAATTTTCTCCAATGAAACATACATATTGCTCATATACAGATAAGCATTAGGTAGAATAAACAATACTTGCAAATAACAAACTGTGGCTAATTACTTGTGATTTTTGTACCGTTTAGTATGATTAAGTTCAACTGAAACCCTAAGGACAATTTTAGGGCATCAGTCGCCTGACGTTCAGGGCCACCAATACTCCTGATACCAGAGCAAGAATCACCAACTGGGGGGAGGAGGGGGCGCCTGGGTGGCTCAGTCGGGTAAACATCCATCCAACTTTTGATCTCAGCTCAGGTCTTTTATCTGTGGGTTCAGTTCAAGCCCTGCATTGGACTCTAGGGTGGGTGTGGAGCCTACTTAAAAAAAAAAAAAAATTACCAATCTGGGTCACTAACACTCTTAAAAAAAAGATCTGTGAAAAGATCTACCCACCTACTATTTTTACACATTATACCCTTTACGAATCTGTTCAAATTGTTCTACCATCTAGCAGTCATCACCTGCCAAGAAACTTGGTTAAGCAGAACCAACAGGAAGGTAGGAGTAGATCTGAGATCTAGTATACTCCCAAATTATCCTTCAACAGAGAACTAGATAAAAGAAATATATAAAGAAAAAAAGTTACACTATGTCACACAAAAGCTGGCCTTAAAACTTTGCTTAGGATTATACTCAGACTCCTATTTCTCAGATCCTGGGATCTGGGAATTAAGGTTAATTTGTTGTTTCAAGCCAACTCCCAGTCATCTCTGCCACTTGCTCAAGGGGCCTTGTTTTATTGCTTCACTCTTTAACAAATATTTGTAATAGTAAATTGGTAAGCCACTGACATTTTAGGAGTAAAGAAGGTGAAAAACTACAAACAGAATAAAGTCAACTGGTAAAACACCAAAAAGTACATACATTGTACTACCCAGTTATATATAAAAGCCTAAGGGAAAAAAAATTGCCTCTTTCCATATGGTATTGGCTCACTTCCAGCCTTCCAAACAACCTAATAAAGATAAAAACCTAGGTTCCGCTGGCTTTACATTAAGCCTCCACCTGAGTAAATTAATAAGTACAACACTCAAACTCTGCCTAGAATCCGCCTCATTCATGGTAGAAGGATCAGCTTCCCCATTTTGTGGCATGAGTTTCTATAGTTTTGGGTATGACAAATGTATACAAACAACTTTTCAAACCTACCCCCAAAGAGATTCCTACTACCCAATCCCCATACTTTGGGAAGCCAAAAGCAATCCTTCTGGTACTTCGGCTTTCCTCAAAAACCCCTGCAAGGCTAAGGCAGATGAGTATCCACGAAAAGAAAATGTGCTTTTCAGGTTCTGGGGAACTAGACTTGCTCAATTCCAGTACCAGTCCACCATTTACTTGGCTCTTCTCTGTCCCTGAATTACCTCCTGTAAAATGGTTATTACGTACGAAGTAGCTGTTAGGATTCAGTGGACATAAAAGGGAAGATATTTGTAATGTTATCTGGCTACTACATGCCATTCACCATAGCCAAACATTTATCCAACCAAGCACTCCTACAGAGGACTAAGAAAATCTAAGTCTCTGAGATTACTAGGAGACAATAAAGCTCATTATCTAAAGGTATAGGACTCTCAAAACAAAGATGGATGTAGAACCTTAAGCAGTTTTCTTCTCTATTAAATTTTCCTTTTAACATACTGCCATATCCACAGCTCATCACTGAAAGAAAAAACATGTGAAACCCCTTAAAGCATTCTTGTGCACGGACTTAAACTTTGTATGGTAATCTGTCAAAATTATGTTACCTTTAAAATAAGCATAAAACATTTTTACAATTTGCTTTCCCAATTTTTCTCCTCTTGGCTACGGAAACCTATATAACCTGATTGATACCAATTTCATAAAGCGGTGAAGGGAAAGAGCATGGGAGAGGGATCACACACAAGAAACTTAACTGTCATTGTTTTGGACAGTATGCAACTTGTCTGCCTTTGTTTTGACTAGCCCAGAAATGGCAAGGGTAAGATTTAAATTAAAAAAACAAACAAAAAAACCTTTAAAAATCCACCACCAAACTCCAGGATTCTCTACATGGCATTTCAAGCGTAAACATAGATGGGGAGGAAGAAGTAATAGCATACAACCTTCAGACAAACAGACAAAAGCAGTTTTATAATCTTTTATTATCAATAACAACAGCTGCTTTAACGTGTCTTTGTCAGGCAGCTGTTAAAGGGTGGGTGGGAGGACACCCTTGACCCTAACAAGGAAAACGCAAGCCTTTATGTACAAGCAAATTTAGAGCTCTTTTAAATGTCCAAAGCTATTAATTAGTTTAATTGAGGCATTAAACTAATTCTGAATTAACATATTTGAATAACCAAGAACTAAAATGTTCAAATCTTTTCTAGTACAAAAAAATTAAATTTGCTTTAGTTATAAAAGAGCTCTCTCAATATACACAAACTATACACTTCAGACATTCACAAAAATGTGAGCGGAAGGCTTATCAAAAGACATTTAATACAATTAGTTTTCAACAACCCCTTGGTGGTCCACATCTACAAAGATATCCAGCCCAACCCAAACCCCCCTCCAAACCCCACCCCCCCACAGAAAAGCACATACTTACCAGAATTTTTAGCAAGTATGGTTTGGGAATTTGTTTTTTAAAAAAAGGCCCCCAGGGCAAGTTATTTACAGTTTAATTGCCACTGTCAACTGATCTGGACCTTGACCGGGATCGGGACCTGGACCTCTGGCGATCCACAGATGCTGGAGACTTAGATCTACTTGAAGAACCACGTTTCTGGCTCTTCTCAGGCACAGGAGACCTACTAACAGAACGGGATTTGCTCCGGCTCCTGCTCCTGCTCCTAGACCGGCTGTAAGACTTGCGACTCCGGGAACGAGACCGGCTACGAGACCTAGAGGAACTCCTGGTCCTGGAACGAGACCTGCTTCGTGACCTACTAGGAAGGAAAACAAAAAAACAAAAATACAACATAAGTGGCAGGCCCTACAAACTCACCAACTAAAACTTTGTCTTAAATGCTGAGAGAGATACCTGTGCCTTTTGCTGCCTTCGATTAATTTGATTTTTCTCCCATTTATTTCCTTTCCAGAAAGTTTTTCAATAGCATTCTTTAAATCACCATAAGAGGCAAACTCAACCACCCTACGATGAAAAAAAAGCCATTTGTAAAATTATATACATCTGGTAGTTTGGTCTCAAACTACATATAGCAATCCAGAGTATCTAGATTACCTTTCCCAGATACTTTTGCTACTGCTGTATTAAGAATCTTAGAGCTTGAGAACCGCATTACAAGGTTTCTCGAGCTCCAAACCATTGACACTTTAAGCTAGACAGTTCTTTGTAGCGGAGGGCTTTTCCTATGCTTGGTGGCCATGTTTAGCAGTATCCCTGGCCTCTACCCACCCACACAAGATGCCAGTAGCACCCTCGACCCATCACAACCACCAAAAATGTGGTCCAATACCCCCTACAGAGCAAATTCATCCTCAATGGAGAAACACTGCACTCCAGCATATCCAAATTCTAAGTTTTCAGGAACATTCACAGTAAAAATTTCAGTAGGTTTTAAAAGGCTGTTATGACCTTCAATACACACTCACCCTTCATTTAATTTAGGTCGATGTGCATCCGCAAAGGTTACTTCCCCAGCTTGTCTCATGAAATCTTTGAGATCCTTAACACAAGACAATTGTGTCAAGCAAAGAAAAGGCTACTTGACACACAAACAACCACATGGTATAAAAAACAAGACTACTGGAAGAGAAGATGTTAGATAAAGTACAAACATGGCATTTACCACACTTGTATTCTATCAGAATTCAAAAAATTATCTATGCCAGGGCACGAAATAAGCAAAAAGCATTATTGCTTTTAAGCAAAATGCTAGAGGAAATTCAGATTTTAACATTAAAGTAGTATTAGTTTATACTGAGCTCAATACAAAAGGAAAAAAACAAAACAAAACAAAAAAAACAAAACAAAAAGAAACAGTACATATTTTTAAAGTAAAGACTAAAGTAGGAATTTTATATTAAAAAAAAAAAACAGAACATTTACAAGACACCAGTTATTTTGTGCCCCATATGTCATTAAAAAAGTTTACTTTACCTTTATTATTATTTCCCTAGGCTAGTCAAGCAGCAAACCATTAATCGGTCGGAGAAACCTTCATGACATATGCCCGACTGGCTCTTCGCCACCCACTTGAAGGACACTACCCAATCGATGGAAGCCTTTAATCGCACAGCCCTCCCTATTAGCAGACTACTGGCGGATGCAGACATGTTCTACTCTTGTGCAGTTACCAAGGACCACTTTACTGCGATCAGGATTCCAACGACCACCTAATTTCGTATCTTTCAACTCTTTTCGACCAGGACCTCTTATTCGGAAGCGTTACAGGAAGACAGCTCTCAACTTAGGGATCAGATCACGTTATCAACGCTCTGGGATCGCTGCAACCTGGCACTTCAAGTAAGTGCACCGATTACGTCTAGACCGGCAAACACAGATCTAGAGGTGGCCAATTGATCACTGTAGGAGCTGACTGGCAAAGTCAACCAGGCCCAACCAAGAGTGACCAAGACAACGATTAGGATAACCCACAGGCACTCCTCGTCATAAGGCCAACGACACAGATAGGCTGGCAAATAAAGGGTTTAATATTTGGTTAAAATTGATTTTAAAAAACAAGAAAAAATATCCTCAAAACATTAAAAACATTTGATCACTAATATTAAAATTTCAAACATCCCCCAATTACGTTTAATGAAAATTTTAAAATTACAATTAATTCCATTAATTTAATTAAAGATAAAGTTACTTTTAATAAAACATAATAAAACATTAACTACCCATTAACTTTTAAAAAGCCACATTAAAATAGCTCAAAACTGTATTTCAACAAACCTGCCAGCTGACTCTTGAAGATAAATTCTCAACTATAAGCCGATTTTCTGTTCTTACAGGTGGAGCATTTCTGAGGAAGAAAATGAGTACTCACAATGGAAGAAATGCAGCAGTGTGTACCTACTGTGTTCGACTGTGGGCAAATTCAAACAATCAGAACAAGTCATTCAAATGACTCCCATCGAGTTTCTGAATTATTTTATATAAGACTTATTACACACACTCATCAGCAACAATGGACTAACACAGAAATAATAAAAATGATTATATGTTAAGTACCAAAATCACTTATTGCTAATGGTTCTTAAGCATTAAAAACTCCTCCTGCAGTAATGATTGTTCAAAGCAGCCATTCATGATCCATCACATACCGTCTATCATTTCGAGGTCTGCGACTACTAAAACGGTCAGAATAGCGTCCTCTACCTCGTCCACCTCGAGACCGAGCCCTAGCATGTTCAATAGTAACCCTACAGGAAGGGAAAAAAAGGCTTTGTTACCCACACAAGCTACCTATCATTTACTTTGAATATCCCAGCTAACCTAGTCTATCTTACAGTGCTAACTAGTTACAAAACTAACATTCTCACCTTTCACTGCACAGTTCTTTTCCATCGAGTTCATATACAGCATCATCTGCATCCCTGGGATCCTCAAATTCCTAAAATGTAAACATGGAAAAAAAAAAAGCCAGTGCTTAACATGTTTTTTAAGTGTATTCTACACCACATTAAAAATCACTAAAACCGTGTGACAGCACGGGTATCTTAATGACAGTGCCATACACATAAGCTCAATGGAAAAGTGAGGAGTGGTTTCCCTCCAACTAACCGCGAGGTTCTTTTATCCCTTAAAAATACCCTCAACTCAGTAAAATCAAAACCACTGCTTATCAAAATCTTCACCGACTTAACAGTAGCTCTAAACAACCAGTTTTAAGTACTTACCACAAAACCAAAACCTCTTTTCAGATCAATATCTCTTATTCGTCCATACCCCTTGAAGAATCTTTCCACGTCTTTTTCCCTGGCCGCTGGATTTAGCCTCCCGATGAATACTCGACAACCACTCATGGTGTCCGGCTAGTATTTCCTGTCACAAAATAATTCAATTAAGACAATACCAGTGAATGTCAGAAGGATGCCTGGTCAAGGGATCAAAAACATAAACGGCATAAAATAAAATGTTTACCCGGTGATGTTATAAACAAGATTGCCAAGAGTTGCCTCTTATTAGGCCAGGTCCCTTGCAGACAAAATTAAAACTCGGCTCCCAACACGATCCTTCCCTGGGCCCAGACCGCAGCAACCGCAACGCCCACTGCCGCCTCTGGAACTGCGCAGCCGCACTCTCTCCCCGGCTCTTCTGGCCCCCTCCCATCTGCCGCAGTTAGGAAAGGCCGAGAAGTGCGGGCGGAGCCGACCCCGCCCTCCGCAAGGCCAGCCCAATGGCGACGGGCCGCGCGCACGTCGCCGCCTCCCAGGAGCGTCACAGCGGGTGGAAGCCGGAATCTCGCGACGCCACCGCCGCGCCTGCCCAGACGGCGGCGGGCGGACGCCGGCAGCCACAAAATGGCGGCGGCGGAGACAGCGGTGGGGTGAGCCGCGCGTGCCAAACGCCCTTCTCCCTCCCCCTCCCCGGGACTCCACAGTTCCGGAGTCACTGTGCCCGCCCGCAGAAAGCCCTAACCACACCCCGAGCAAAGGTCTCGGCCCAATACTCGGGGGGGTCCGGGTAGTGAAGAGGTAAGGAGGCAGGGAGGGGCACACGACCCCGTGTAAAAACGACCATAACCACGACCGCCCTTCCACCGTCAGTTCCCCTCAAACAATACCCAAAGGGAGACGTGCCCCAGCGCCCACCTCGAATATACTGCGCTCTTTGGACGCCGTCCTCCGCAAAAAGAGCAGCCCTGGCCACTCACGATCTGAGCGGCCATGAAGAAGCCTCGATCCGAGAAGCCTTTCCCTCAAAGTGAGCCACTCACCTACCGGACAGGATCTTTGGCAGCTGAGACCAGAGAGGTCCGTAGTCTGCGACGGAGCCGTCTGCCTCCCCGCAGACCAGGACTAAACTCGTCTACGCCTCTCCACAACTGACGCACTTAGCTGCTCCTGCGTTTCACAAAATGGAGGGCGCGCCCTTGCATCACTTCCGGTACCGCCCCTGGGACCTCCCTGCTGGATCCAGCGACGGAAATTTCCGCGGAGCCGGAAGTTTACGCGGGGCTGGAGCCTCTTTACCGTAACCGCCCAAGCGACCTCCACCCGCGATGGGCGGAGCCGAGGGGCGGGAATTGGCGTGGTTGTGGCCGCCAGGGGCCCGACGCTGGAAGGGCCGCGGTTGCGTGTGTGCTCCAACTAGGCCGCGAAGTGCTGTTCATCATTGTTTCTCCCGTGGAGATACGCTAGAGCAAATGGCACTTCGTTTTTATCTGACGTATTTTTTTAGATATCCCGAAAAGTACTGGGTAAAAGAAACTCAGGCTTTGCAAAATATTTGGCCACACATGACCCCTTGCTTCTTGCAGTTTATGGTTGTATTTTGGGGGACGCTCCCTAATGCACAAGTGAATATTTTAACCATACTATCATACCATGGACGTGTGGTTTATACTAAGAAGGATAAGGAACTGCAGTATTTTTTACATGGAACCTTCTTGCATGATGAAACAGTCAAATCGGGACTGCAGCTAGCAGGCCATCGTGAATTGAAGCCAGAACGCAGATTTCTGCACTAGGGCTGATCTGGTTGAAAGAGGTTTCAAGCTACTTTTAAAGTCCAAATGGTATTTGGTTAACCCTCCTTGTTCAAGTTTCTGTAATGTAACACATAAAAGTAGAGCATTCATCAAAAACAAAGTCTATGTTTCAAAATGAGGGTGAAACAGCCTTCCACATCCTTAGCTCCACGTTTTCCCAGCAAGGGTGGCAGGCTTAGCAATCCAGGCATAAAGAGAATGATTGTGAAAATGTTACTTTTCTTTAATGCTTTTAGGTGGAACTCAAGGCACCCCATTTTTCAGAGGTGCCCAGAATCAAGGGTTGCTGTTTGCAACTAAAGTTACACAGAGATACGGTAGTTCAAGAAGCAGCAGAGCTACAGACCCTTGCTCTGACCTTCCAGCCCTTAGAAACCCTAGGTTAGAATTTGAATAATTTGTATGGAATGAGCTCGTCCATTCATACATTTATTTTTAAAATTTTTTTTAAAAGATTTTATTTGAGAGACAGCATGGGGGAGGGGCAGAGGAGGGAGAAGCAGCCGCCGCCGCCGCCGCCGCCGCCACCGCCACCGCCACCACCACCGCCACCGCCGCCACCACCACCACCACCACCACCACCACCACCACCACCACCACCTCACCCTTGCTGAGCAGGGAGCCCGTCATGGGGCTCCATCCCAGGACTCTGGGATGTGACCTGAGCCAAAGGCAGATGCTCAATGGACTGAGCCACCCGGGGGGCCCCTATATATTTGTTTACTTTAAGAAGAGCCTCAGTAGGTATGTAGCAAAATTGTGAATTTAGTCATCTATGGTGTGGGGAATGAAGGTGGATTTAAAAGAAAATAAGCATTTGTTAAAAGAAAACACCTTTAGCCACTAGCCTAATAAACACTGGCATCTCATAATGTACAAATTGTCCGAAACCAGTACTTAATTTAGCTACGTTTGTTTGCTTTCTGCATAATTTTTTTTAAAAAATGGTCTTCCAATTATTTTCTACATTTTCTATTGACTGTAATAGAAGCAATCACTTGTGATTTCACTCACTAAATGTTATTTTTGCTGCAATAACAAAGTAATCTAAAGGTTTTCTGGGAGTGAAAGACAAGACCATTGGTGCTGTGTACATCATGAAAAAAGTTGCAGTCTTCACACAGCATTGTGATTTTCTTCAGGAGTAATTTTTTTTTTATAAAGCCTATTAATCTTAAAAATAAAACCATTATTTCACCAGCAAAATGAGTTTATTCAGGAATAGTAGAGAATTGTAACTCGAGATATATAAGCAGCAGAAAAACCATAGGCAAGTCCAGCAAGAAGAACATGTTATGGAGAAGGAGGAAGTTGGAGGGATTGTTTTGAAGGGAAGTCCAAAGGTCTTTGGAGAAAAGTGTGTTTTCTCATTGGTTGAGCACGGGGGTACGGGGGTAGTCATTTTTTTTTTTTAAGATTTATTTATTTATTTAAGAGAAAGAGAGAGAGCATGTGGGGGGCGGGGGCACAGAGGCAGTGGGGGAGAATCCCAAGCAGACTCCCTGCTCAGGCTCCTTGCTCAGTGGGGAGCCTGCTTCTCCCTTTGCCTGCCACTCCCCCTGCTTGTGCTGTCTCTCTCTCTCTCTCTGACAAATAAATATAATCTTAAAAAAAAAAAAAACAATGGCTTTTCCCTTAAAATATAATAAACAATAAAATGAAATTAAAAAGTTAACACAGTTTATTGGCCATCTCTGTTGGGGTCTTTCAGCATAACCATGGGAGGTTTCATTCATCACGTTCCTGATTTCACTGAACACAGGGATCAGCAAATTATGGCCTGTGGGCCTAATCCAGCCTGCCACTTGTTTTTGTATGGCCTGAGGGTGGTTTTACATTTTTAATGGTTGGGGTTGGGGGAAGGTGATCAAAAGAAGATTTCGTGACACATGAAAATTAGATGAAATTCAAAGGTTGGTATCCATCCATAATTTTTTTTTAACACAGCCACTCCTGTTCTTTTACTTACTGCCTATATCTGTTGTCCTGCCACAGAAGCAGGGCTGCAGAGTTGCGATAGAGACCTTATGAACCACAATACCTAAAATATTGACTATCTGGCTCTTTACAGAAAACATTTGCCAACCCCTGAGCTAACTGATTCCTAAATTTTAAACTGTTTTGTGAAAGCTCCACCCAACTCCCTTTGTCAGATAAAATTGTAAACAAGGATAGAGGGTTCGAGCTTTATTTGTAAAGAGTTCATCGTGTCCCAATTATAAAAATATCTGTATGCTCATTATCACAAAAATGTACAACAGGGAAAATAACTGAAACAAGAGGAGAACATTCGTGATCCCAGCTCACCAAATGAACCTCAGGTCATGGTTCGCTGTTTCTCCTTCTGTTTTCTTTCCTGAGTGTTTAATATATGTTTTATTTTCCAATTCAAAAATAATACATCACCATTTTCAAAAACATAGATTTTTTTAAAAAGATGTTTAAAGTCTATTCTTATTCCCAACCCTGAAGGATACCTATTTGGCTTTTTTAATAATTTCTCTGTAGGGTTCTTCTAAAAAGCACAATTGCATTTCGAAAATATGAATCATCCTCATATATAGAATTTGGTTTCATGAGAGGTATTTTTTTTAAAGATTTTATTTATTTATTTGAAAGACAGAGAATGAGAGAGAGAGAGCACATGAGAAGGGGGAGGGTCAGAGGGAGAAGCAGACTCCCTGCCGAGCAGGGAGCCCGATGCGGGACCCGATCCCGGGACTCCAGGATCATGACCCGAGCCGAAGGCAGTCGCTTA